CTGGATACTGTTTCCAGTCGCCCTCAGTCTAAAACCACGCTGAAGGGCTCTGAGGGGCTGTTGCACTTAGGCTCTTAAAGCGCTCGGGCATTGACTTTCTTCTGACATGCAAGAAAGGTAATATCTGATTTTTTTTCCTCCAATTGCAGTTCATAAGGTGTGGGTATTGTTTTTATGATGATGGTGATTGGTTGTAGTAATTTTTTGGCTTGGTCCGCAAGTTCCCATTTTAAAAAAGAAATTGATGTGTTTTTTTTATACGTGTGTGTGTATATATATATACAGTATTGATGCAGCTACATCTCCAGATTGATGAACTTTATCATTGGAGCCCAGTAGTTGTTTAAAGGGGTTGTTTTGGATGGGGTTGAAAACCAGAATAGGTGGAATAGCAGAAGCCCCCTGTGCAGGTTTTATCCTGGTAATATTATGCCAAGCAGTGCTTTGGACAGTAGGTCTACATCATGTTTGTGTTTATGTAACAGGGTCCAAAGTTATTGTTTCTATATCGAGCAACAGTTCATTTTATTTTAAGGGATACGGATTCTACTGCTACTTTATTTACTTTATTTCTTAACAATAATGTACGAGTGCATTTTTTTAAAACAGTTTAGCATTCATCTGGCATTGGTACTAATGCCAAGGTGACGTCTATTAATCAGTTGGTCCTTTATTTTCGTTGCCGGAATGAGGTTTTAATCGGTCCAGGCTGTCCACTCAAGCTTAAGTGTTTTTGTATGCAATCAGTATCGAGTCTGAGGACCGGAAAGACCTGAAGTTTAAGAACCTAGGAACAAAATAAGAGTTCTCTTCAGAAGCACAACGTCAATGAAGTGAAGTTTCTCAAACCGGTGCCTGAGGATGTGTCGGTTTGCTGTAAAGTGTCTTTTCTGATATGAAGTATCTTGTTTATAGGCAACAGTCGCTGATGAGCAAAAGTAATTTAATCAGGATCTAATTGATTCAGATGAGATTTGAATGAGGTAATTTTCATTAAATTGTAATGAAACTTGTTCCTTGGGGTTTCATAAAAAAATCAAGTCAGCCCCCTCTTTATAAGGTGTAGCTCTTAAAACAAAGGCTTTTTTTTACTGGATTACGATTACTGTATGGAGTTTTCAGAGGTAACCGTTTGTGAACTTAATGACCCAGGGAAATGGATAGACTTTAAATGTAGAATAAGTTTTGAAGACTGTCATGCCCCCAGTTTGGTTTAGCATTTGGCTTCACTTACCAAGAGCTTTTTGAATAAAAAAAAAAGATTTGCTGGTCTAAAACCCTTGAGGCATTCTAGCTTTCTAACCGGATTCAAAAGACTCATTTTTCATTTAGAAATACCCATCGTTTCTTGAATCTTATCCAGTGGGCAAAACAGTTATTCTCTTATATCTGCTGAAATGTTAAATGTAAAGAGATGTGTAACTCTAATAGGCTATAGATGATGTGATTCTCTTAAGTGAGTTTAATTCGCATTCATAATGTAAAATAATTATTACAGCAGAACTTGTGCCACTGCATGAACTTATTGTCTCTTGTGTGAATGCTTGACAAATACCAAATGCATTATTTATAACACAATTTTATATACTGTCTGAGAATTTCAGTCAAACCTGCAATGCTCCATAAATCACGATAGTGAGCTATTACATATAGTCAACAAATTCTTGATGTCCCTCTGTACGTGGGCAGTTAGCATGATGAGACTTCTCCCTAACAAGTACAATTTCGTTTTTACTTTTCCACATCTTTAACACAATACATATGTTTTATTTTTTTCATGCCCAGATTTATTCTTTTCTCAGTGTGAATTTGCAGAAACATTTCCACTACGTCTGTGAAAGACTCTCAATTTAAAACATTGGTGCCGGACATACTTAAGAAAAATAGTGGATTTAGAATTCTATTTCTGTAGTTCTAAACTACTCCAGTGTTTTACCAAGGTAAACCAGCCAATCCTGACACAAAAAGCATAGTAAAAATAAGCATTTCCTCAAAATCTCCCATTTTCCAAAAGCAGAACTGACTGTGGGGTGGCACCCCGATTTTGCCTGGCTTTGCAGTGAATGAAGAGCCAGCAGGGGAGCAGAATCAGTCACGTGTGTGTTAATTCACACTACAGTATGGACTTGCACGTTCTGGATAAACTCTTGGTGCTGCCTTGATTTCAGGTTAGCACCAACAGTGACAAGCCCGGGACTTGCAGCCTCTGTCTGTCAGCGGTGGTTAGTGCGCTAACACCTGACAAGATAGTGTTTTGCATTCCGAGGCCTCATCCCAGGCTCTTGTTGACTGGTGCTATAAAACCATGATGCTCTCAAGCATGATCTTTTTATGTGCTTCAAGCGCAAGCGGCCTCCCCCATTTCTTCTGCTAGGAGGCGGGGGTGGGGGTGGGGGGGGTTGTCATTCGGGATATAAAAAGCTCAGTGGCGTCCCATCAGTAAGCCCGCGTGAGGAGGGATGATGCGTTGTCATGTCAAAGAGAGGATCTGTCTCCTCGCGTCGCTGACACTTTGCCAGCCGGTCCCGGCTGCGGTCTGGGTCATGGGGAGAAGCTCCTTGAGTGGCCTGGGCCTGCGGTATCCGGCCGGAACGCCGCGCTAAGTGCTGGGGCTCTCGGAGGTGATGAATGGACACTCATCCGGAGCCCCTGACTGGTCTGCACTCCAGAGCGCTGCTGCTGTCAACTTGTGCAATGAGGTCCCAGCGCCGAGCCGAGCCTGGAGCGTGCTCTAGTCTTGCTGTAAAGTCCACCTATCGCAGGGCTTGTTCGGGGGAGGATCTGCGCTCTCCTTGGGGGAGGAAAATAAGATACTCAGCACATCAGTCAGCATAATAAATAGCTCTTGGGTATCCACTTGGGAAATGTTATCTGGGTTCTCTCACTGTCGGGGATGGGGCCTGAAGTGTGCTTTAGGGATTGAATGAATAACAGTCGCTGTGCTCAAGCCTGGGGATGGTGAGGCTTCGTCTCTTTCCTGCGTTGTCACCAGCTGTTCTCAACTTTGTCCCTGTGGCAGCTCACGTCTTTTAGCGTTCATTTGTATGAATCAGTGGTTTGATTTGTTTGTTTTTTTTTCCCCATTCTTTTTTCATTTAGCAGCAAATTGAACATCGGGCTGAATTGTTCAGCTGATAACTGCGTAGCCCAGCTGCACGCGGTAATGAGCGGCAGGCAGCATCGGGGTTGTCATGGCATTGCGAGGGGGTTGTCTCTGCCTCTGCCACACAATGAAGCCGATTGCTTTTTTTCCTGCTGGCTTGAAGGCCAGCAGTGGCTTTTTTCCCCTTAACTGCATAACCTCCTGTTCACAATGCGGTGAGACCAGACAGGGCCCAGACTTCTTCCTTGCTTGTGTGCCTTTCTTCTTGCTTCCAGTTTGCTTGATTTACATAGTAAACAGATCAGCCCAGCCTGCAAGCACGATGACTCTACTGAACACTTACAGGTCCCGTCATTTCACAGTTCTCTGCCAGTAAGGTGGCTTACCGCACGTGTGATCTATTAGTACTCTTATGACTGAGTGCTGTCCTCCTTCGTATATAATGAGATTGTGTGGACTTTTTAATGACTACATTCAGCCATGAGCGCCATCTTTGCCTAATTAGTTTCTAACTATAGTGGAGTGATTGTTCAGCAAAAGGCTCAATTTGCTACTTGACCAGGCTAATAATTTCTCATTGATGTTTCAATTTATCTGAATATGACTGGACTGAGAGCCCCCCATGCTAACGTCTTAGATAAATATGTTTAAAAGAATGTTAGGTATTGATGCCAATTTATTTTGAGACAGGGTAGTGGCTACATACATTGCTTGTAACTGGTATGGTAATTCATTTAGTTTTTTGCCACTATGAATGAAAAAAGGATCAGATGAAGGAAGGAAAATGTTGTTTAAAATTATTACCCGCCGTAACTACACGGAAATGTGAAATTCTGCAGAATTAGCCTCTTGTAAAATGTAAAAATGCCATCTGTACTTTTTTTTATTTTGTGAAGGATAAGTCATGGGAAGCTGAAGTAGGCTAACTATTGTACTTCACTGTGCAGTGGTCTACACTGGGAGCACAACTCCTCCAGCTTTTTTTAATCCTTTAATCTTCCCTTATAGCTGTAATTGTACAGCCCTCCCTGCCTTCATTTCCAAACTAGACACACACCCCCCTTTCAATTAGGACATTGTTTTTTCCCAGTTCTTTTCCAATTTGCTCATTGAATGTGGGAGAAATGTGACAATGGAATTCTGCGTATCCTTAACCAGACACAAGCGCAGAAACCACGTGGAATTTGAATACCTGTGTTGTCAAGGGAGATATTCAGACTAAGATTTTCATGGTTTTACAGACCCAGCATGCAACTTAAGTGCAGCAAAAGGTGACCGACATAATTAGGAATACAAGAACAGACATTAATTCTGCATTCCACGTCGAAAAACTGAAGAGTTCAATTTCTACATTAAATAATCATGCATTCATTGTAATAGTGAAGAATGAGAAGTAGATAATGACTGGAGTAATTGGAGAGTGCTTTAGGCCACGCTGGGTCACTAAAATTCTAGACTGGCTTCCATTGTCCTGTTTTTAGGTACTGGGAGCTAATTATTTGTATGGCAAATGGAAATAGTTTTTGCCTTTGAACTTAACTTTCTTAACCAAGTTTGAAGTGCCTTCAGTCAAGTGTCCTTCAATGCTGAAAAATGGAAAGGAGAATCCCTTTTGTTTGGGCTGCAGAACCTTCTTCAGATGCACGCTGACGGAACTCCCCACTCGACCATCTTCGCTAAAGTGCATCCTCATGTCCCAACATGATTTACACCACTTTGTTTTATCATTCGTGCAGCAAGCCTGCTACTCGGTGTTCCAGGGGCAATGGGCTCCAGAATCCATATACGGTATTAAAATTCACTCAGAAGAATTGGCTGACCGCATGCCCGTAGGTATGCGCTCCAGGCCGGATGCGTTGCGTTGTTGGTAATCCCTGTGTGTCCTTTGTTTCCTCAGGTGTTTCCCCAAGGCCTGCCCCGGCTGCTAAGAGACTGCAAGACGGCCCTTTCACCATGGTTGTATCACTGCGGGAGGCCGTCTCCCTGTCTGCACCTTGTCTGCTGCTGCTCCTGACTGCCCAGCTCTCCGTCTCCCAGCAGTCCTCTCCCTCGGCCGACCATGAGCAGCAGTGCTCCAGGAGAGAGCACCCCATGGTTTATTTCCCAGGTGAGGGAAGGGTCTCTAGTCGGCAGGGTAGAGGAAGAAACCAGCTGTTCGGCAGCCGGAACGTCCTGCCGATTTCCTCACCCGGAACGTTGAGCAACATTTTTGAAATTGTGCACATTTTGTAAAAGCAGTGAATGAATGTCATTGTTGTTTTGTCCGTTTTTCCATTTTTTCCATTTGTTCACGCGTGAGACCTGTGCTCCTGCCCCAAGGCAACAAGTCTATATCTTGCATTCAGATCCCACCTCTCTCGCCGTCGTCTTCCATCCATGTTTATCCTTTATTCTGCTCCCAGTTTCCCTTAGTGTTTATACACGTGTGCAATATACCTTTCTTTGAAACCGCTCACCCCTTGGTCTCGAAGGCCCTGGAGTGGGCTGTGCACCACCAGCTCTCCGCTCTCACTGCTTGGCCCTCAAGTCCGGCCTTCGTTCGGCACACTGGACGAACGCCGCTCTCTGGCCTGTTGCCGAAACTCTTCGTTTGGGTTGTGACGCCTCCATCTCCTCTATTTTTATCCCCTGTGATTTCTGCAAAACTAACACTGCTAACACTTGCTGGCCTCCCTGTTCTCCTCCTACCTTGCTGATCGCACAGAGCTGGACTCTGATGAAGCTTGTTTGCTGCTCTTACTCTCCCCACTGGTTCTGTCCTCTCTCTTTCCACTTATACTGGGGCCATTTATCTCTCCACAAGGCCTTTTCTGCCCATCGAAACTGCTTTCACTGCCTGTACTCTTCAGTGCGCGCTGAAGACTGATCAGTGTCTACACTACTTGTTTTGACTTCTTGCTATCCTCTGTGGTCCACTCCACCAGCACACTCTCACTCTCTCCCCCTGTCAAGTACTTCAGCATCGGTCTTAACTTCTCCCAGCGCATGTCTGCTCTGGCACAATCCAGTAGCTGCTTCTTGAGCAATGTTGGGAAAAATCTACTCCTTCCTTCTTTAACGGCTTGTAGTCCAGACCCTGCTACGACTGAACTGTCTGAACTGTTGTCTGCACTACACTCCCCTCTCACCCTGTCCTCCCCTCCCAAGAGCCTCTTCTACAGAGGTTACTGTAACCTCTGCCTCCTCAGTGATAGAATGAACTGCCCACAGAAGACAGAAGTGCTCCTCTTCTGGCGCCTGGTCGAGACTCGTCCATTCATACTGCACCTGCGATCTCTCTGCTCTCAACTGCATCCTGCTATAGTTTTTACATTGCTGCTCTTGATCCACACTGTCTGTGTGCTGCTTTTTAACATTTCATTTCGTTTGTGTTTTGCACAGCCCTTCTGACTTGTGCTAGGCTCATTGTCATTTTAGGAGTTCAACCTGCTTTTCCTCATTGTACCTGCGTGTTCCTTGTAATTACAATTACATTACCGACAGTGCTGGTCTCCCGGAATAAAATTGCCGCTAATTAGCTAGAAAACAACAACAACCCATTTTGAAGGCTTTCAAGCAAGTCCCTGTTCACTTTAATTATGGGTGAACTGTGGATTTTTCCAGAAGAGCAGCTAGAGCTACAGGATGTATTTTATAAGGGCTTATAAGGCACCACTGTACCCTGTGAGCTGATTCAATTTAGGGAGGATTCTGACTGAGAGGTGTTCTGGCATTAATCTCACAGGGGGAACTTCACACCTCTGGCTCCTCAGCCAAGCAGGGACACCCAATGTATGATCCTGTGGTTCCGCTCGTACTGAAGTAGCACATCAGCAGTAGGTAGAACTAACTTGTCTCACGGCAGTTTATCCCCAGCTCCTAGTTAGTGGGTGAACAATCTAATGCGTGGTGAACTCTGCCTCGCAAAGAGAAGAACATCCAGGGATCAGAAAATGCCAACGCCATGAACACTTGGCTGCCGCAGGCCGGCCATCCCATCTGTAACCTTTCTGACTCCTCCCGTTTAAAACCCCAAGAGCCAGGTGGTTTGCAGTTCATTGGGTAAACAGTCCTTGAACAGCAGGAGCGCATTGCAACAGCAGGTTTGTTTCGCCACCAGCTGATGCTTCACAGGCATCACTGCAACGCGTGAGGTGTGAAGAGATGCAGCAGTCTTCTCCGATTCAGTCAGGAAGGCGAATCCCCCAGCAGGCACAGTGCGTGTCTGAGTGGATAGAAAATTGAAGTCGGTTGACCCTCTAGATTTATGGAGGTATGATGCGTGTTAAATTTATACGGCAATGATACTTTCAAAATCTGCTAAGAATGCGGCAAAGGAAATAGTGACAGTCTGGTGGGAATCTTGATTGTCTCAGGAACCATTTTTACATGTCTGTCCTGTTGTTCGTGTAATTAAACTATATATACAGTACCATAAAGACTGGTATTCATTGGCTGAACAAGTTTTGAGCAGAGGTTTGTGTGATTTTTTTTTTTCCCTCAAATTTGTGTAAGGCATAAGGCATGTGGGATTAAAAAAATATTTCACAGGCTTGTCAGGTGCAAGCTTGACAAGGCTTTGGTAATTGATAAAACTTGCGATGTTTCAATTCTTTTAATGCATTGGCTCATAAAATGATTATGAGAAAAGAGGCTCCCATTTTGGTTAATGTGGGCCCCCAGTTTTTGTCAGAAATGCAATGACTCATATGTCACACTGTACCTGCCAACTATGAAGTATGAAGTTGGCATGGAGCCACTGTACACAATGAGTCAAACGGTGCCAGTGCTGCATTGTTAGTGTTGTTGAAACTGAAATACTACACACACAAGCACAGCTGATATTTATGTTTAATCAAAAGGCTATATTATCATCTTGGAAGCTTGACCAGACTGACAGTTCAATCACCTAAGCAGTGCAAAACATTTTATCTTGTATTAAAAGCAGTAGTCCCCATCCAGATGTGTAATTGAAGTGCTAGAGTAAATAGGTAACTGACACTTGATCCGATTCTCAACTAGATGTCTGCCAAAAAGAACAAGTCCACGTCATCCGCCACAAGCTATTGTAGCTGACTTGGTTTCAAAACAAAGACTGAAGTGAAAAACTAAATCCAATTCCCTTTAAAGTTAAAAGCTTGCATCATTTTCTTTGTGATCAGCTTGTTTTCTCAACAGCTCCAGGTGTTTGCTTTAAGCAATAAGCCAACTAGCGCTATGCTTTTGGTACATGAATTCATATCTGGTGGAGTGCCTTTGACAATAGTTATGATTAGTTATTTCCAAAGTACGATTGGATGCTAATCTGGGCATCCAATCTAGTGTCTATTCAATTCATTGCATCCCAGCCTGGGATTCTGTCAGTTCCTGTCCTTGATCAGGCATCCCAAGACCAGATGTGCCGGTCACCATCCAAGCCACGACCGAGGTGGGATTCTGGATATCGGATGCACCACTGGGCATGACAAGCTACCATAAGGCACAGAGCCCTGCCAAGACCAACTGGTGCTTTCCAGGTGCTGTCATGCCCCATTTCACAGCACTTCCCTGGCAATGCAAATGGAAACGCGCTACTTGGCCTGCCGTCGGGGAGTGCGGGCACCTGCGCAGGAAATGCATTCCTATAAATTCTCATTCTGGCGCTTGACAGGACTCGTACCACTGCTGGCAATGGGTGATCGGGAACAGTGGTGATCAAAGAACACAGTGCTTGGTGCAGTCTGGCTGAGGCATCCCAGAGAGGAAGAGGGGGAAATGTTGAACATAGCAAACAGGGATGTGGTATGGATCATTCCCGGTTCGGAAATAGTAGCATTGCTACATTGAAGTCAGGGCAGTGATGGCTATCCTACCATTCTGCAGTGCTCCACGTGCACACCTGGAATTTTGGATTGGAGCTTCACAGTTGTATTTCTCAGTTCTCTTTGTATCGCTAGATTGTGTAAGCCTTTCCTGTTGGTTGTCTTGAGGGGGGTGGGTGGATGCTGGACTTTCAGACTAGCATTGCAAACCTGTCACCTTCTGCGCGGTGTGGTGCATGCTACCAAGAGTCTGCCAGCCATCTACACTCCTCAATCCCAAGAGCAAGACTGCCAAAAATCAGACATTCGCCAAATATTCCAACAGAGTCAATAATGGAAGCAAAGCATGCTAGAGTAGTGGAATATATATATATATATTTTTTAATGTTCCAAGAATTTTGAAAGGCAAGTGTTCTAAGGCCCATCACTGCTTAAGAAAGGAGAATGTGCGCTGTTATTCCACTCAGCGTTAGTGTTCGGCCTTTTCAGTCTGCGTTGCCTGCGTTACTGAAATAACTGTAATTGTTGCTGAAGAAAGGAGGCGTGCGGAGCCGCTGTGCTGTACTACAGAGCAGTCATAAACTGTAATTAGCAATAGATTGTCTGGCCTACAAAACGCATCCTAAATCCCACTGTCTCTTTTCTCCAGGAAGCTACAGCAGTTCTAAATATTTTCAATGGCGCGGGGCTCTTCAAAGGGAAAAAAAGGCTGTTTTTTATACTGGTGGTAAATGCCATATGGGATCAGATCTTGTGAAGTTGAAGCTGCATATGATTTACTCAGACTAATTGGCAGATGGGATGGCCCTCATTCTATTTTAATAATAGATCATGCAATTATCGATCTGTCCATTAAATAGCTACTTTGTGAGAAGTTCTGGCTATCTCGGTGATGTCCCTTCGGTGACAGGTGTCAATATGTGGTGAATAAAAGAGGATAGCGACTGTTTCAGCTTTTGAATTCCCAGATTCATATTCAGTTCCCAGTCCCAGAGGGGACATTGATTCCTCACCAGTCCCCCTGTGTCCCAGTGCACATAGACAAATCAATTTCAAGGAAAACACAAGAAAAGCCTTCAAAGAAGAGAGTTATTCTTTCTTGCCACATAGTTACTGTGCTTTTGAAATGTCTCCAAAAATATATTTTTTTGAAGAGCTGCACTGTCTATATCCCATCCCCTGGACTTTGAACTGCAAATGTTAATCCTTTCAACACAATGCATGAAGAAATGCTGTGCTGAAGAAGGCTTTGGCATGGTCGGTCACTGAAAACTGGTCTCTGTCAGAGGCTGTTCGTACAGGCACAATATCTGAATTATATAAATTC